TCGAAGCGCTCGTGCCGCGCTTTGGCAAAGTGTCGGAGATCGACCAGCCCGACTTTGCACCGACGCTCGATACGTTCTGCGACGCGCTTATTTCGCTGCGCCGGCTCACCACGGTGTCGCGGCTCCTCGGCTCCTTCCTGCGCGTCGGCTCGGCTGAGCGAACGTTCATTGCCATTGCGCCGTGCATCGCCAAGCTCGTGCAAGCGTTTGGCTGGGAGGCGCTCTATTCGCCCATGAACGCGCTTCTGGACCGCTGGCTCAAGTCGCTGCGCGGCGTCGGGCTCTGCTACGGCCTCGTCGCGAGCTTGGCCGGCGCCGCCGAGTCGCCGCTCTGCGCGACCATTGACCAGCCGTTTGCGGTCGAGTGGATCGTGGCCATGTGGTCGCGGCTCGCACTCGTCGTCGACGCCCTCGCCGAGTCGGACAAGCTCTACGACGACGCGACGCTGCCCCGCATCGTCTTTCAGTACAGTTTGTTTCTGCAAATGTACGTGGATCAGCCGGCACAGCACCTCTCGCAGCGCTGGTTGTACAACTGCCTCCCGGACGGCGTCGTGACCAAAATTGCATCGTTCCTCGGACCGGTCCCGACCCTCGACGAGCTCGACAACTATGGCATCTTTTCGCCCGTGCCCGACATGACGCCGGGCCTCGCCGCTGCGCTGCGCCTCGACCAACGCGTCAACGCAGCGTATCTGGACCGCGTCGTCGACGACTACATGGCGGGCGACTTTGGCGACTACGACGACGACCGCGATTTCAACCAGGAGCTCGCGACGAGCCTTTTGGCCGTCGCGGCGGCCACCGGGCGGTTTACCGACGTGCTGAGCGAGCTCATTGCCGGGTGGCGCTTTGCACTCTCGCTGCCGATTAACGCGTTTCTTCGCGTGTGGCCGGCACTCGCGACCGCCGACGTCCAGCGCGCGTGTGCGTCGGCGCTTCTGCGCATCGCGGATCAGCTCCGCCCCGACGATCTCGTGCCGCCCGAGTTTGATTTCCACATGCTCTTGCAAGACCCGGGCACGGACGGCCCGCGCGAGGTGGTGGTGCACCAAGTCGTCGCGACCTTGAATTTTTTCGCGACGTTTGACCGCGCGCACCTCGTCCCGTTTCAAACCAAGTGGATCGCCGCGGTGACACAGAACGCCGACGCGGTTCGAACGACGCTCTGCGATGTGATCGAGGCGGTGCACGAGCATCTGCCGACGGAAACCGCGCTCGTCGCGCACCTCGCGCGCGCCTACTTGGAGGCGACTGCGGCCGCCGACCACGACGCGATCCAACGCCTCACCGACTATGCGCTGCTCGACATTGAGGTGCCGTCGTGCTGCGAGCTCTCGGTCGGCTTTCAAGAGTTTTTGCATGACCCGGTCCAAGACGAGTTCCGCGTCAACGACATCCACGCGTGCGACAAGATTGGTCCGATTGTGGCCGCCCACCCGCTGCAGTTGCGGGTCCACGAACGCACGATGACGCGCGACGACGACTTGCTCTGGGGCGACGATGACGACTACGACGACGACTACGACGATTTTGACGACGACGGGGGCGACCAATTGGTGGTGAGCGTCGTGACTAAGGTGCGCCAACCAGGACAAGTGTCGGTGGACGTCCTCCGCAGCCACTTGGCTCGCCAGCGCAACTACGAAAAGACGCTCGCGCGCTCGCGACGTGTGGCCGACATCTTGCAAGAGACCACGGAAAACATCTTGCAAGAGGTCACTGCGAGCGACGACGCCGAGTAGGTGCGAGACGAAGCTAGCCAAAACAAAGATGATGTTTCGGTCGATTTAATTGCAACAAATGCGAAAAAGCTGGAAAATACCGAAATATATTGCATCACTGCTCTCGTTCTCGGGAATGTCGCAGTGGCATTCGCCAACGCATTGCTCGATGATACTCCGTGTCAGGGCGGACGATTCAAACGGCTATGCCACGAGGTCTTCGCACCATGTCGCGGCCCCTTCGTCCTTGACACCCAGTGCAGAGACTAAAGGTCCGTTGACGTTCGACTGGATTGACGCCAGTGGGTCGTCGAGGACGTGCAAGTCGATGGAATGCAATATGAAGAAGACTGTTGGAAAGGCAAAGCAAAGGCGAAAAAGACAGAGAAATACTTCAATGAATATAGACATTGCTCTGGTTCGGCGGCTCATTCTCGTCGCGGGTGGTTTTGTTTTAGCGTTGGCTTGAAACCGCACACAATAATAATTCCCTGCGTGGGTCGGTGTAGTCAGTGGAAGGAACCTGCCGTTGCAGCACGTCGCTTGGAACGGGCGTGTTACTTGGGATGCGCCAACCCGAAAACTGTCCAGAAATGGACAGTTCCACTTGTAAATGTAACCGTCAAAGACCGACCTGTCGCAGCCGTTTCATGTCAGCCACTCGATAGCAAATACTAGTATTGATGCAAGCAAGTGATTAGGTAATGTTTATACAAGAAATATAGAAAGAGCAGGTCATTTACTGCACAGCGACATAGTCTTCGTGCACCTCGGATGTCGGGACGACCACGCCGCGCGCAACACCCTTCTCTTGCGTCTGCTGGCTCGCAAAGCTGTTAAAGATCTGCTCCAATGTCGTCTGCGCCACCGTGTACTCTTCGACGTGGTACGCGGCCTTGCAGCCCTCGAGCATCGAAAAAACGGACGAGAGAAGGAGCTTGGTCGGGCTCATGAGCTTGAATCGCGCAACGTCGTTCTGGCGCTCGAGCAGCTGCGCATTGCCGGCACCCATCGCGGTGGCCAAGAAGGCGTTGAACGCTTCGAACCGGTCTTCAGTGAGCCACCACGTACAAAAGTCGCGGGCGCGAATGTACTGGTTCTTGGTGATCGACTCCATGAGCGTGTACCCGGTCGCGTGGTCCATCGAGATGCAGCTGCTGCGCTGCGGCTTGCCGAGGCGGCGGCACGCCTCCTGCGCGT